AGGAATTTCTGCTCTGAGGCGGGAACTCTCAGCAATAAGAGATGGGAAGAAAGGTCTAGGTGAATTAGTCAGTTTTAGAATAATTGTCTCTGTGATGCAGCTGTAAAAAAGCCAGCACTGACTGCAGGATCCATTAGCCAAGGCATTTCTAGCAGATAGGGCGATTTTTCAGCCTTGTGGGGATCATTGCACAAAGAATCTGTTGAGACTTTCGCTTACATTCTGTACATGCTCTAGGATTAATTCATGCTGGGAAGGGGCAGAGAAAAGCCATTAAAATGATGGAGAGCACAGAATCTTTTCCCACAGTAAACTAACAGTATTTGGTTTGTCTAGCTTGGAAAACTGAAGACTGACAAGTGCTACAGCTGCTGTCTACATATTTGTCGTGGTATGAGACAACACAAAGGACGGAGATGAGCAATTTAGGCTATAGGATAATGTGGGAGCAAGAAAAATTTAGAAACCAGCAAGTAAAAATTCTGAAGCAATTAAAAACCTCGAGAACCATTCCATTAATGGTGGGGCAAAAATCAAAATGGATTTAAAGTGAACTTTTATTTTCAGGAAGAATATTATATGAAATGTTCCTGAGCCAGAAGGAAGTCTCTTTCAGCCATTATTCTATGAATATCGAGACCAGTTAGAAACCCTTCCTCTCTTATTCTTTTTTTTTCCCCTGACAAAACCTCTAGATCAAGAACTCAGTCTTTCGGGCCACACTGCTATGAGACGAGAAAAGACCAGCTGATCCACATTTCCAGATAGAGGTATTTGGAAAGCCACCTCTTTTAAGAGAACAGACTAGACAAGTCAGTGGCTGTGATGTCAGGGCAAAATGTGAACTAGGTCTTCCTCCACCTGTTTTCTCAAGCTATCTATTGTTAAACTTCCCAAATTTTACTTCTCTGCAAATATCACCCCCAAAAATTCCTAATTCAAACTTTGAACCACCCCTTTTCTACATTTGCTATTGCTTATATCATCCTGAAGATAAGCCAGGCTGGGATTTTAACAAGATTTATCCTCCCTGGCATAAAAGCAGCAAACACAAGAGGAACACGTGGGGAGACAGAGGCCAATGGGAGCTAGATTCTTTGGATATCAACGCCACTGAGTTTATGAATTGCCCTTCGCTGCGCTCTGTTGTTCCACGCATAGACAGTCTTACCTTACCCTTGTGCCAAGGGACTGTTCTTATTTGTCACATATGATTTTATTTACTCTAGTTTACTACTCTGCTTACTCTAGTATGCTTCAGCATGGGAAAAACAGATGTGCAGCTTTCCTGGGCTATTCTTTAAGATGATATCAAAACACTACCCGGATTGATGCATTCTGCTCTGTGTGTGCAAACACACATAATATAGGCATGCACATGCTCAAATCTGCACACACACATATATGCTAACTAGAAATCAAAACAGGAACAAGGTAAGGGCAATCATTACCTTTTTTAAAAAAAAAACAAGAAAATAGGCAGTGTTTTTAGAACCGGAAAATTCTATTTTAAAATGGCATAAACCACAGAATAAATAGATAAGATTTAAAAATAAAGTAAAGTTAGCTTTTTGGGTAGATAAGTCTGTCTCAGAACCCAGCTGTTGTTCCAGTTTAACTAAAGCAGTACAACTTTGCTGTGTAGAAAGGGCCTCAGTGAGAACCCCTACAAGGGTGCGTCAACCATCAAAGCATTCCTGACTTCTGAGAACCCATGTGCGGGAGAGCTATGTACTTAACACACACCACCAGCCCAGGGGCCTCCAAACTGAGGTACATATACTGCTTGGATACACAAGATATTTCCAAATAGTATGCAGAAAAAAACCCCCAAATCTCCCAAAATCCATCGTCAAAACCTGTCCCATCTGCCTGTTCTCTGGAAGTGGTAGGCAACAGCCAAACAGATTCCTGCTTCTGCACACAGAGCTAGGAGCTGCTGCAGACAGCTGTGGTGGGGGGAGACGAGGAAGGGGTTGGGATAGCGCATAGAAAGCTACTGTGGGTGCCACCACTGCATTTCTCCCTCTAAACAAAGGCCTGGGAACTCCTCTCTTAGGCCAGTGGCTGGCTAGTTTCCGAGGGTCATAAAGCAGATTTCTTCTAAAAAAGCAGAGGGTTTTGGGTGCCAGCAGAAACTCGGCAGTAGCCGAGAAATGGGGCTTCTCAACAAGAAATGATGCCTGTGATATGTTGCCTGTCTGCAAGACTCCTGACTCCCATCCGATTTAGAGTTGGTAGGTGCCAAGAGCAAGGGGCTGCTGCTCTGAGAGATGCTATGGGGGGCTGTAGCTCCCTAAGCATGGCCTTTACCTTCACTGGAGAATACACTGTTCATAAAACTGCTGCTCAGGTGGTGTGCTGAGCACTGCTCCCCACTGCAGGAGACCAGACAGCTATGTGAGCTAAAGAAATGACATCTTTTTTTGTCATTCTAACAGATACAGCTAGACTTACTCATGCAAAACCTAACCTGAGGAACTCTTAAAGGTGTTAAAACTTGAGACATTTCTCTTTGGGGTAAAAGATTCAAAACAACTGGAAT